GAGCCCCTGGTAGTGGGGAGGCTGCTGCTGGACCCACCATCAGGTACCTGGTCTCCTGGCAGGACCTACCCTGAAATCTCCCAAGTGGGTCTCCTCCTTGCCCCTCACCCAACCTGGGGAGAGAGGGGACCACAGGGCGGGAGGTAGGCAGAAGCTTCAGAGAGGAGGGTGCAGCTGTAGGGTTGCATGAGGAGCTGATGACCCCTTATGCCAGGGTCCAGAATGACAGAGCATAAAGTTTGAGCTTCTAAGGGGTGGAGATGAGAGCCCACACTGGTGCCTGCAAGCATGAGTGACCATGTCTGGGGAGCAAGCTCTCCCTCCTCTCCCGGGCAGATATCTGTGTAACAGGGAAAAGCCTGAAGCTGTTCCCAAGTGACCCAGTGTTTTCCCTCGGCTCCCTTACTCAGCTACCCAATGCTGCTGCACGTAGCAGCCCAGATCGCCTCTGGCATGCGTTACCTAGCCACACTCAACTTCGTGCATCGTGACCTGGCCACACGGAACTGCCTGGTTGGGGAAAATTTCACCATCAAAATCGCTGACTTTGGCATGAGCCGGAACCTCTACGCCGGGGACTATTACCGTGTGCAGGGCCGGGCAGTGCTGCCTATCCGGTGGATGGCCTGGGAGTGCATCCTCATGGTGAGCAGCCGGGCAGAGGGAGGAGATGTGGAGTGTGGCCACACCCAGCTCTGTGGTCTCCTTGGGTCACTTGCCTGCTCTGGGCTGTCCTTTCTCCTGGCTTGGGACTGGAGCAAGCAGGACCCTGGCAGGTGAGGGGAAAACGGAAAGGAGCCAAGAATGGATGTGGGGCACAGAGTCAGGGTGGCAGAGAGATGAGGGGGAGAGGAAGCTGTGGATAGAAGGGGTCAGGTGGGGAGACAGAGCCAGACCAGAAATGAGAAGGACACATAGAAGGATGTGGGCCAGGACCTGGAGAGTGCACCAGGGCATGGCGAAGAAAGGCAGATAGCCCTGGAGGGGCAGCGCAGGATGGTGGAGAGATGGGTGATGTCACATGGAGCTGGGGTTTCTCCACAGCCTGATGTCTCCTTTTCCCTACACCAGGGCAAGTTCACGACGGCGAGTGACGTGTGGGCTTTTGGGGTAACTCTGTGGGAGGTGCTGATGCTCTGCAGGGCCCAGCCCTTCGGGCAGCTCACCGATGAGCAAGTCATCGAGAACGCGGGAGAGTTCTTCCGGGACCAGGGCCGGCAGGTCAGAGCATTACGGAATGTGGTGGGATGGGCAGAGGATCTGCAGTGGAGAGAGGGGAATATGCAGAGCAGGTCTGTCTGTCTATCCTGAAACTAAAGCATGTTTACCGCCCACCCCTCCTTGGTGCTGCCACCATGCAGGTGTACCTAGCCCGGCCGCCAGCCTGCCCGCAGAGCCTGTACGAGCTGATGCTTCGGTGCTGGAGCCGGGAACCTGAGCAGCGGCCGCCCTTCTCCCAGCTGCATCGCTTTCTGGCAGAGGATGCTCTCAACACAGCATGAACTGCAGTGCCCAGTTGCCCCCGCCTTTGGGGAGCCATCTGGGGAAGCCAGCGATGTTAGAGCCAGAGGAGCCAATGGCATCCACCCTCACCCTCAGCCACTCATCACCTCTGAGAGGCGATGTGACTGCAGGTGGGCCCCTCCTTGCGGCTCCCTGATGGCTTCTGTCGCCCACCCAGCTGGCTCTGTGGATGGGATTCTTTCTGACCACTTCCAGCCATGCCTGGGGGAAGGGTGGGGGCAGATGTAGGGCAGACACTGGACATGGCCTTCGGAGCACCTGGGCCCCACTGGACAACACTGGTGCTGGGGGGAGGCTGTGCCCCCTGGCTTCTCTCTCTTCCTGTCACACACTGGACCCCACTGGCTGAGAATTCGGGGGAGATGGTGAGGAGGACAAGAAGGGGAAACAGATATTCCCTTGAGCGCCATCCTGGAATTGTCCTCAGCTTTGACTTGTCCTCCAGCACCCCCTGCAACACTGGAACATGGGGGTAGCTCCTGCCCCGACCCTCAGTCACTCCCACTTCCCACCCTCCATGTTGTAGCTAGAACTTCCCTAAGCCTGTACGTTTCTGTGGAGTAAATATTGGGATTAGGGGGAATGGGGAAGCAATGGCCTGTGGCCTGGGGGTTGGACATCTCTCTTGTAGTTGCCACATTGGTTTTTCTATAATCACTTGGGGTTTGTACATTTTGTGGGGAGAGACACAGATTTTTACACTAATATATGAACCTAGCTTGAGGCAGTTGTAATCTCCTGCACTAGGCAGGTAATAATAAAGGTTGAGTTTTCCACAACTCTGCCTGGGTTTCTTGGAGCTTTGGTAAAATCTCTCTCCTGCCTTTTGCTCCCATACCCTTTCTTCCTTCTCTTCTTTTTACCTTTCCCTCCCGGTCCCATTTCATATCACCTCTTTTGCCCAGCACAGGGGTTTGTTTCTACATAAATGTTACAGGCTTGTTAAAACACACACACACAAACCCACATTTAAAAAAAAAAAAGGATTTATTTTTATGGGAAGGACAGATTTATACAGAGAAGCAGAGACAGACAGAAAGATCTTCCATTCCATTATTTACTTCCCAAATGGCTGCAACAGCTGGAGCTGAGCTGATCCAAAGCCAGGATCCAGGATCTCCCAGGTCTTCCTACTGGGTACAGTGTCCCAAGGCTTTGGGTTATCCTTTGCTATTTTCCCAGGCCATAAGCAGGGAGCTGAATGGGAAGTGGAGCAACTATGACATGAATTGGCATCCATATGGGGTCCTGGTGCTTGCAAGATGAGGATTTAGCCACTGAGCCCCAATTTTTATAAGCTTACCAAGCTGGTAAGGAATTATGGTAGAGTAATATACTTCCTTTTTTAATATATTTAACAAGATCTTACAACAAGATCTTTGCCAAATGGTGGTGACCGTGAATGGTATTCTGAGGTTTCTACAAAGACAGTAGCTTGTAAAAATGGCTATGGCATTTATTAATGACAAGTTACAGGTACTGGTTATACTATTTGGGTTTTGCCCATTAGATATAGTTGAAGGAAATGCTAACTTTCAGTTAGAGGTTAGTAAAAATGGGTATGTAGAGGCCAGATGGAAAATTCCTGGATTAGAATAATTAAATGTGCAGGGGACCCAGGAGGCGTGAGTGGCCTGGCTGGAGCCAGAACCAAGAATCTGAATTATCCCTGAGACTTGGAGGGAAGAGCTGCAACCTCCATGAAAGGCCTCCACAGGGGGCTCAGGTGAGCTGGGAAATGCAAGCACTGGCCAAGCAGAGCTGTCTTGCCAGCAATTTATGTGAAAACTGCTGGATTTTGATTGGTGACAGTCACAGCTGAGCAAGAGGATAACAACAAAGCTGATTTAATCTGAGGCCGAGGTAAAAGGCCCTCCGGATCCAGGTCCTGCTAAAACAGCCACAAGTCAGACAGACCACTGTGTGCTGTGGGCACGCGGACAGGTTTGAGTTCAGAGGCCAGAACCCAGAATGGTGAGCAATGAGGACACTGAATGAGCCTATACTTCCTGAGGCTTGGAGCCCACACTCTCCCTTAAGCTCCAGACCTGTGTAACCACCAGAGGCTCACTTGAACTTCAGTCTTGGCAGATCATAATCTACTCAGCTGCACGGCTGTCACCCTGACATCCTCCTCCATACAAATCCAACCAGTACAAGTCCTGTTGATTTTGCTCCCAGCTCTCCCTGGAACTTGCCTCTCTCTAGGCCCTCCTGGCATACTGCCTCCATCTTGTCTGGACCACTGCAGCAGTCTCCCAGCTGGGAACTCTCATATCTGTCTGACTGCTCTCTGGTTTGTTTTTGGCTTTGCAGCACAGTGATTTTTTTTTTTTTTTTAAGTTTTACTTGAAAGGCCGGCACAGTGGTGCAGCAAGTTAATCCTCACCTGCAGTGTACATCCTATGTAGGGGGTCTGGGTGAAGTTCCTCGAGGTCTCCCATGTGGGTGCAGGGTCCTGAGGCTTTGGGCCATCCTTGACTGCTTTCCCAGGCCACAAGCAGGGAGCTGGATGGGAAGTGGCGCTGCCAGGTTTAGAACCGGCACCCATATGGGATCCCGGTGCATTCAAGGTGAGGACTTTAGCCGCTACTCCATCGCATCGGGCCCAAAAAGTTTTATTTTAAAGAGCAACATATACATTCCCCTCACCCCAAAGGGCCCTCAGTTCTTCCTGCCACACAGACTTTGTCACATGCTGACAACCATATGGGGCAGTGGCCTCTGGTCAACCTTGCTGGCCCTTCAGCAGTCTCCCCAGTCTCGGTCATATCCACTGATGCTCTCAAGTGCAGACGGATCTCTTCTGTGCAGTACGTACTAGGGACGTGATCTCACATCTACTTGTAAATGCAATCTTTTAAGGCCCCCTGCCCCCTCCCATTCCAGCCGGAGGAGCCCATATGTGATGGCAGGCCTGGCAGATGGCGGCATATGCCAGCCCCTAGCAAATAATTTATTTTTTCAAATAATTTCTTTAGAAAATGTTTACCACGACCTTCTAGCTAAGAATTGGAAGTGCTCTGGACAACGACACTAACACTTACTGAATACTGAGTACTCGCGTGTCAAGTAAGGCGCATGGGATCATGGTAGCAGCTCCGACTCGCGAAAGTTCCCTGGGACGTGCATAATCCCAATTTTAGCAAGGACAACTGGACCCCGAAAAATCTGGTTCTGTAGTCTCCACCTGCTTCCCCACCCAGGACTGCCCCTCTGCCAGAAGGCTCCGGGCGTACTTCTCTGCAAGTCCCGCCTCCTGACGACGCGAGTTAGAAGCGCCGTTAATAGCGTGGGCGGAGAGAACGCCGGAACAACATGGCCCGGCCCTCTCAAAGGGCAACCTGCCGCCTCCCGGCTCCTCGCGGTGCCTTTCGGGAGTTGTAGTTAGAGGCTCTCCAGTTTGCTCGGGGGCGTGTAAGGACAAGACTCGGACTCCCAGTATGCCCCGCGGCCCACGAGTGCATCGCCTGCCTGTTCTTAGCCTGCCTTTCTCACTCCTCTTCCTTCTAAATTCTCCATTCTGGGTTGCGACCTGTGAAGTCATTCGTTGGTGTCTGTATCTTTCTCTCCCATTTCCCCACAGTCTTTTCCCCTCTCTCCGGGACATTGGGTCCGTTTAAACGTCGGCTCGAGACTCGGAACGAGAGAGGGGGATCGACCCAGAGTGGTGAGGGGGTCCGGGAGGGCGGGTAAGTTGAGGTAGGAGAGAAGAGAGGCGAGGAATGGCAGGAAAATAGAGAAGTTAAGAGACAGGGCGGTGTGGATCAGGGTGAAGGGGGTGAAGTCAGCTGGAAACAAAGTGGAAAGTGGTGGATTTGGATCTGAGCGGCGTGGAGGGGAGAGTTACACCTCGCAGAAGTTGACTGGGAATGGGTAACTGGCGAAGGAGTGGAGAGAGAGAGGTTTGGGCTCAAACAAGTTTCCTGGCTAATGTTTAGATAAGGATGAGGCAAGGCATAAAAACACAATTACCAGCCCCATTTTCACTTGGAAATTGGGATGAGGAGATTGGAAAGAAGGTGGGGTGGGAGGTGGGGATCATGCTAGGAGAGACAGGAGGAGATAAGCGCCGGGAGTGGAAACCACAAAACAAAACGATATTACTGTGTGGACTGAGGGATCTGGTATCAGCATGAGAAATGAAGAATGGGGGACTCTGGCGTGGATTGTGGGGTATGTGGCTTAACCCTTGCCTCTCTCAGGTGATGGAGAGTACCCCTTCAAGGGGTGGATTGAACCGGGTGCATCTACAATGCAGGAATCTGCAGGAATTCCTAGGGAGCCTCAGCCCTGGGGTTTTGGATCGATTGTATGGGCACCCTGCCACCTGTCTGGCTGTATTTAGGTAAGGAGTCCCCATCTGGGCTGGCAGGGATTAGTGGGGAAATGTAATGCCATGAAGACTGGAATCCGTTATCATGGGCAGAAACTTAGCAGGCTAGTGGGACTTGGGAATTATTCCATAGCATGAGAGACCGATTTTTTTTTTTTTTTTAAGATTTACTTATTAAATTTGAAAGGTAAAGGTAACAGAGAGAGAAGAGAGATCTTCCATCTACTGGCTTACTCCCCAAATGGCTACAATATTCAGGAGTGTACCAGTCCAAAGTCAGGAGGAGCCAGGAGCTTTTTTCCAGGTCTCTTAAGTGGATTCAGGGTTCCAAGGACTTGGGCCATCCTCCGCTGCTTTTCTAGGCCCATTAGCAGGGGACTGAATGGAAAGTGGAGCAGCTGAGACTCAAACTAGTAGTACCACAGGCAGTGAGTGGCTTTTACTCCCTATACCACCAACCACACCTGCCTCTGAGATGTTTGAGAGGCAGTTGGGGCAGCCTCAGATCTTAACGTTTGACTTCTAACCTCTGCAGAGAGCTCCCGTCTCTGGCTAAGAACTGGGTGATGCGCATGCTGTTCCTGGAGCAGCCTTTGCCACAAGCTGCAGTAGCCCTGTGGGTGAAGAAGGAGTTCAGCAAGTGAGTCCCCACTGCATCCTTGGTCACCTGAGGAGCTCACAGACCTCGTCCCAGCTAGCCTTGTCAAACTGTTGTTCAGTGGAACACAGAGAGGAAGTAGTCATGGGTGCACCACGGAGCTCAGCAGTACACTTGGGCTGTGTGCTGTGTTTTCCCACCTGGAGAGTTTTTTGTGATGTCTGTGGCAAGCTTCTGAAGCTCTTACTCAGAAGGTGCTGGCTTCAATCTGTGAATTGGTCAAGAAAAGGCAGAAATGGGGGTCCTTTCTGGGGCTCCCTGGTTTTGTTCTTCAGACACACCTGCTCAGCACTCTCCTCTGCTTCTGTCACAGGGCTCAGGAGCAAAGTACAGGGCTGCTGAGTGGCCTCCGCATTTGGCACACCCAGCTGCTCCCCGGCGGCCTCCAGGGCCTCATCCTCAACCCCATCTTCCGCCAGAACCTCCGCATTGCCCTTCTGGGTGGGTATGTCACTGCCATCTCTTCCTAAGCCAGCCCAGGGTAACTGCTCATCCTGCTCCTGGACATGGCGGCTCTTTGTGGGTTCTGTCTTTGAGAACTGCAGCATGGGGTAGGAAGTGTCCCCATGTGGGCAGAGGGGCAGCCGGGGCAGAGGTAGGGGGTCTTTACTCTCAGCACATCCTGGCTTTAGGGGGAAGGCCTGGTCTGATGACACAAGTCAGCTGGGACCAGACAAGCACGCCCGGGATGTCCCCTCCCTGGACAAGTATGCAGAGGAGCGCTGGGAGGTAAGGACCTAGGGCTCTGGGTGTCCTGTGCGTGCTGTCGTGGCCCTGTGGCCCTTGGATGCCTCAGTCCCTCTATTCTGCTCCACAGGTGGTCTTGCACTTCATGGTGGGCTCCCCCAGTGCCGCTGTCAGCCAGGATTTGGCCCAGTTGCTCAGTCAAGCTGGGCTCATGAAGAGGTGAGGCAGCCAGAGATCCAGCAACTCCCTGCTTTGCCATCTCTCTTTGGGGTCCTTGAGAAGCGCATCTGTGGTGGGTCAGGACTGGAGGGAGGTGGCTGAAAAAGGAAAGGTGAATCTAGCATTGTCCAAGCCCCAGGGCTGAAACGTGAGAGTGCAGGTGGAGGCAGCAGCCCTTCTCTGCCTGAACTCCCCCCATCGCCCCTCTGTGCCTCCAGTTCAGAACCAGGAGAGCCACCCTGCATTACTTCTGCTGGCTTTCAGTTTCTGCTGCTGGACACCCCTGCCCAGCTCTGGTACTTCATGTTGCAGTACCTGCAGACAGCCCAGGTGAGGAAGCCAGGGACCACCTGCTGGCGTGTTCAGCTCTAAGAGCTGTGCCCAGAGAACTCCTCTCTTCCGTTTGCTCCCTCCCACCCCTTCCTTTATATGTATCTCCTTTTCCCTAGAGCCGGGGCATGGACCTCGTGGAGATTCTGTCCTTCCTCTTCCAGCTCAGCTTCTCCACTCTCGGCAAGGTAAGCAGGGGCTGAGAGGCAGATGGAAAGGGAAGGCAGGGTGTGGGTGATAGAGTGAGAGGCTAGGACTGTATGCACAGTGACCAGACATGGGAGCAGGAGGAGGAAGTGTTTCGGGGTGGGCAAGGGAGGGTGGATGTGTTTGGACACCCGGCTCCTTTCTTCTCCCCAGGATTATTCTGTGGAGGGCATGAGTGACTCTCTGTTGAACTTCCTGCAGCACCTGCGTGAGTTTGGGCTTGTCTTCCAGAGAAAGGTATGAATGCCCAGGAACGCGACTTGTAGTAGGTGCTGGGTTGCCATGGCCTTCGAGGCGAGGTGGGGTCATGAAGCAGGAGCCAGAAATAGTTGCCATTCCTGAAGACTTGGGTCCCTTGTGAGAGAGCAGTTGGGACTTGAGATTCTGTGTGCAGGGTGGGAGTTGTCACAGAACAGGAATTAGTGCTGTGACACCTGACACAGGATTTTGATCTTCCCCTTCTGCCTTTCCTAGAGGAAATCTCGGCGGTACTACCCCACACGCCTGGCCATCAATCTCTCTTCAGGTGTCTCGGGGGTAGGGGGCACTGTGCACCAGCCAGGCTTCATCGTTGTGGAAACCAATTACCGGCTGTATGCCTACACAGGTGCGGATGGCTGCAGGGCCAGGGAGAGCAGGTGGTGATGGGGGGCGCAAAGGAGGGAACAGTTCTACATGGCTCGTCCCAAGTGTCACGTGTGTCCCTGACACTGGTACTCACCGTCCCACATGTCACGTGTGTCCCCTGAGACTGGTGCTCACCATCCCACGTGTCGCGTGTGCTCCCCAAGACTAGTGCTTACCTTCTCTCCTTCCCCGGGTCAGAGTCAGAGCTGCAGATAGCACTCATCGCCCTCTTCTCCGAGATGCTCTATCGCTTCCCCAACATGGTGGTGGCACAGGTGACCCGCGAGAGCGTGCAGCAGGCCATTGCCAGCGGCATCACAGCCCAGCAGGTATTCCTGCTCCAGGGAAGCAGGGCAGGTCATGTCACAAAGGGCTGGGGCTGGTCCTGGGTCTGGTACCCAGGCAGTGGTGGGGGTATCTGAGCAGAGCACTAGGCATACCCAACCTAGTTGGTTGTCCTGCCTCTTGTTCAAGTCCTCCTGCCATCCTGTGTCTCTGTAGATCATCCATTTCCTGAGGACAAGGGCCCACCCAGTGATGCTCAAACAGGTAAACCGGCACCAGGAGGCCTCAGCTGACAGTCCCTGGCAATTAGCTGTGAAATGCTGGAAGAAATTCCCCAATGCGGGTACCATGTGGGGAGGCTGGGGGATGTCTTCAAGGGCCGTTATTTTTGTTTGTTTTTCAGGTAGAAGTTTTTATTTTTAAAGGTTTATTCCTTCTTATTGGAAAGGCAGATTTACAGAGAGAAGTAGAGACAGGGCAAGATCTTCCATCCCCTAATTCACTTTCCAAATGGCCTCAGTGGCTGGAGCTGAGCTGATATGAAGCTGGGAGCCAGGAGCCTCCTCCAGGTCTCCCAGAGTTGCAGGGTCTCAAAGTTTTGAGCCATCTTCAACTGCTTTCCCAGGCTATAAGCAGGGAGCTGGATGGGCAGTGGAGCAGCCAGGACATGAACTGGTGCCCATATGAGATCCTGGTGCTTGAACGGGAAGGGTTAGCCAATCAAGGCATCATGCTGGGCTCCAGGGGCCAGTATTCTTGAAACCTTACAGCCGGCCTTTGTCGCTACAGACCCCGGTGCTGCCCCCCACCATCACAGACCAGATTCGCCTGTGGGAGCTGGAAAGGGACAGACTCCGCTTTACTGAGGGTGAGTGGCTCCTGGTAGCCAAGGCCAGCGGAGGGGCAGCTGGAGGGGCAGCTAGCTCCGCCTCCACTAGCTGTAGTTTACTTTTTGTCCACTGCATGGAGGGAGGGAGGATGGCTGGCAAGACACTTGACTGGGGGATGAGTCAGTAGCGGGGAACGGTCAGGACAGTTTGGATTTGGCTAGGAGATGGAGAGTGGGAAGGGTAACCCACAGTCATGTGTCTGGTTGTGGAGAGCATTCCTGGGCTTCCTAGTTGCCTTTTGGACCAGGCTAGCGTTGTGGTGACCCCCCCGAGGGTGCACAGACCCCCCGCCTCACTCTCTACCCCCACCCCGTCCTGCACACCCCAGGCGTCCTGTACAACCAGTTCCTGTCGCAAGTGGACTTTGAGTTGCTGCTGGCCCACGCGCGGGAGCTGGGCGTGCTGCTCTTCGAGAACTCGGCCAAGCGGCTCATGGTGGTGACCCCGGCCGGGCACAGCGACGTGAAGCGCTTCTGGAAGCGGCAGAAGCACAGTTCCTGACAGAGACCCGGACCCGAGGGGGCGGGACCGGGCGGGGCGGCGGGCGCGACCTTACAACTCAGGTGTTTTCTGTTGTTGTTGTTGTTTTTTAATTTATGTATCGGGACTTTTCGTATCCAATAAAGTTATGGAAGTGAAGTCCGCGGCCCCGGGCCCCTCGGCCAGGTTCCTCAGCGCGAGCGCGCTCCTCCGGGCGCCGGCCGCCATTGGGCCGCGGGAGGAAGGGGTGGGCCGAGGCCGGCGCAGGCGCAGTGCGCGCGGCGGGGAATGGCTGGTCTCCGCGAGTAGCGTGGCCGCGGATCTCGTCCCGGGCCCGGTTCCCTGCGGTCCCGCGTCCCTGCAGCCGCCGCCGCGGGGCGCCCGGGGATAGCGCTGGGGTCGCCGGTGAGCGCGCGCCGGGGCGGCCTGTGGGAGGTGCTGCGGGGCCAGGGCGGGCGGCCGGCCGCGCGGGGCTGGGGACATTGCCGAGGGCGCCCGACTCAGATGGCGGCGACCGCGCTGCGCCACCTGGTCGGCCCCTCACGCCGGCGTCCGTCAGCTCCCTGCGCCGGATCGATCGCAGAGAGGCTTAAGCACGGGGACGGAGACTCTGCCCTCCCTACTGGAGCCCCTGCCTACACTGCGTGCTCTAATCCACCTGGACGAGGAGGAGCCGTGTAGCAGGGAATAGATGTGTAGGAGACCAGGCTGGTGCTAGCCGGGGCTGCACGTGCAGGGGAGGAGGCGTGGGGGGCTGCGCTCTGCCCCCAGTCCCCCATCCTCTCCCTGTGCTCCGTCTCTCTGGAACAGATCGTGGCCCCTGTCCACTCCTGATGCCTCATTTGCCTCTGGCCTCCCTTAGACCATCACTTTGGGGTCTCAGGTCCTCGCGGGGCCTCCGCAGGCTCTGTCCCCTTTCTACACAGTCGCAACCCCATCATGGCTCTCCCATCTCCCGGAGGAACCGAGAGGCCAAACAAAAGCGCCTGCGAGAGAAGCAGGCGGCGCTGGAGGCCGGGATAGCCGGGGAGAGCAAGGTCAGGGGGATGGAACACCTTGAACACGGGTCCCCGAGACGGTCGGAGGGCGTTGGAGGAGGCAAGGGCAGGGATCAGATGGCTGGACCATACCGGGAACTGCAAGTCCCTCCTTCTGTTGGCATTCCCCCCTTGCTCCCCAACGCAGACACCTGCTGAATCCAGTAAGGCCTGGAGCCCTAAGGAGGTGGTGCTGTATGAAGTCCCTACAGAACCTGGGACAAAGAAAGGTAACTAGGGAGCTCCCAGACCTGGTGTCTCACGTGTTTGTTGCTGAAGTACAACCTGAGGGGAAAGTTGAGTAGGTAGTGGAGCTCCCTTCTGCTCCCACAGATGTCTCGGGCCCTCTGCCATCAGCATACAGCCCTCAGTATGTTGAGGCTGCCTGGTACTCATGGTGGGAGCGAGAGGGCTTCTTCAAGCCAGAATATCAGGTTAGTAGTTGGCGCCGGGCAGGGATGTGTGGTGTGTGTACTCAGGGTGTCCCCAGTTCACACTGCCTGGCTTGTCTTCAGGCCCCTGGTGTCTGCACAGATTTCCCTGGGCAGGTTCCTCCCTTCCTCATCAGTTCTGTCCTGCCTGTGACTTGCAGGCCGGTTCCCTTAGAGTCTTTCTGCTCTGTGGACACCAGAGGGCGCTGTCCATCCAGGGAATCGCCATCCTTTTGCCTTGACGCTGTCCTCCTCCTAGGCCCTGCTGCCGCAGTCCACGGGGGAGACGTTTTCCATGTGTATCCCACCTCCCAACGTCACAGGTTCCCTGCACATTGGCCATGCACTCACAGTGGCCATCCAGGATGCCCTCGTGCGCTGGTGAGAGGGGACCAGGAATAGCAGTATTCTCGGGGTAGGGGTTGGGGTGGCAGGTATGGAGGGGCAGTAGAGGGTGCAGGAGTAAGGGAGACTTAGTCCCACGGGCTTAGGTGAGGCTGCTTCCGTTGCAGGCACCGTATGCGAGGAGATCAGGTGCTGTGGGTTCCTGGCTGCGACCACGCAGGAATTGCTACCCAGGTAGACCTTGTCACCTTTTTCCTTCCCTTGGGTGGAAGCAGGTTCTCGTCCCAGGGAAGCCTCGGTCTATTTGTTTGGCACTCATCTTCCTGCAGACCGTAGTGGAGAAGCAGCTGTGGAGGGAGCAGGGTGTGAGGAGGCATGAGCTGAGCCGGGAGGACTTTCTCAGGGCCGTGTGGCAGTGGAAGGAGGCGTGAGTGTGGGGCAGGGCTGCGGGGGCCAAGTCGCCAGCTGATGCCCTGCTCCCCAGCACTTGTTGTCCTCCCTTGGAGTCCCTGGCCCTTCGTGGGGTGGCCCAGTCTCCTCTGGGAAAGACGTGCTAGAGCCCTTTGGTGTGTGGTGGGGTCACCAGTCCTGTGTGTGTATAGAGTGTTCACACATGTGTGTGTATACATGTGTAGATGTACACATATTTTTTTTTTTTGCCTCTGCTGACCCATTTTCCCTTGTTAAATGTCAGTTTCCTTGCCTCTCCCACTTGCTCGTTGCCACCCTTCTGATCCCATAAAGTTGCCCTCATGCCTCCCTGCCTGTTGTCTTCAGGCAGGAGGGAAAATTTCTTAATTTTCCACAAGGTGGCTGCCATGCTGTGTCCCTGTGGGCCCTTGGGCTTCTCAGTGTGGCAGTGAGCCCCAGCCTGGGTCTGGCTCCATCAGCATCTAGGGGCTGGCTCAGTGCCATCACACCTTATTGTCCTCTATCACCTGGCCACTGCTTGCGGGGACATGGGGTGTTGGGCATGGGGGATGCTCTGGGTGTCTTGCTGATGGAATGTCTCTGGGCACAGGAAAGGGGGCGAGATCTGTGAGCAGCTGCGTGCCCTGGGCGCCTCCCTGGCTTGGGACCGAGAGTGTTTCACTATGGACGTGGTGAGTGTCCCCTTTGGCCTGTGTGGGTTTGGGGTGCCTAGTGAGCTGCAGGCATGGGAGTGCTGGACCCTGGGGTGGGTGCTTGGCTGTGAAGAGCTCTAGATATGGATACTTGGCTCATTCCAGGGCTTCTCGCTGGCCGTGACTGAGGCTTTTGTGCGGCTCCACAAGGCAGGCTTGTTGTACCGAAGCCGTCAGCTTGTCAACTGGTCGTGCGCCCTAAGATCAGCCATCTCTGACATAGAGGTGAGTCAGGGAGAAAAGCAGGAGGTGAGAACTCCTGGACAGGGTGAGCAAGAGGTGACTAACATTGGTTCCGGAGCCAGATGCTTGAATCTGAACCCATGGCTCTTGGCCGGCTGTCAAGTTTAGTTAAGGCTGGCTTCCTCAATCGGTAAGTCAGGGAAGATGGATATGCTAAAAAAATCAAATGAGAAGTCATGTCATGTTCTTCCTGTGACTGCACGGAAGTGGGGTGAGAGGTGAGGGAGGTGGCTCCCACGTGCTCCCAGTGGCTGGCTGCGACCCAGCCTCCTGGCCCCCTGCAGGTGGAGAGCAGGGCTCTGCCTGGCCGCACAGAACTGCAACTGCCCGGCTGCCCCACCCCGGTGTCCTTCGGCCTTCTCTTTTCTGTCGCTTTCCCTGTGGATGGAGAGCCTGGTAAGTGTTTGCCTCCCTGAGGCTTACCCGGGTGTCCCTTGTTTCCTGGAGCCCAGGTTGGGCTGCTGAGACAGCCCATCAGTCTGTGGGAACCCTGGCAGTGTGTGTGAGGCCACGGACACTCACTTTGGGTGTCCTGGGGAGGCGAGAACAAGGCACTGGTTGCCGCCCCCTCGTGAGGTCAGTGGGATCCTGCAAGCTGTTGCCATCTGGGTGGTCTGTTGTAAAGTGCAGTTTGCGTGGGAGGGGTTCTATAGAGGCCAGAGGAGGGTGATGACAGGTGAGTGGGAGCTGAGCAGGTTGTGTGTAAGTGGGGCTGGCACTAGCCTGAAGAGTGCATGGTGTGTGTGGCTAGGACCTGAGTATGTCCCTTGGGCACCCAGCAGGATTCTGGGTGCCATCCCTGCTTGCTTCTGTTATTCAGGAGTTCCTTAGCACCACCACCCAAGTCCTGAGCTCTGGGGAGCCCCCAGGCTCCTGTGCACAGCACCGTCACTTCTGGGGCCTGCTCTAGGCTGCCGCAGTGTCAGGCCCGGGGAAAGTGGATAGCAGCTCTCAGTGCCCGAATGCTTGTCTTCAGATGTGGAGGTTGTGGTGAGCACCACGAGGCCGGAGACGTTGCCTGGAGATGTGGCTGTGGCCGTTCATCCTGACGACTCCCGATACACAGTAATGCACGTGTAGACCCCACTTCCCCTGTGCCCTTTCCTTTCCCTTCCCTTCCCTCCATGGTAGGGGCTCCTTCTCTCTTGCACCTGTTTCCTTTTCCTAAGACTTTCTGCGTCTCAGCTCAGCCTCTGGCTCTGCTGTTGTACCTTTCTCTTCCTGGTAACCTACTTTATCTCTGGATCAGTGGGTAACAAACTGTGATCCATAGACCAAGCCAGGCCCAGGGCCTATGTCTGTAGGAGCTGTGTTCATTAGTTTGTGTACCGTCTATGGCCGCTGTTGTGCGTATAATTTTTTTTAAAAGATTTTGTCATAATTGAAAGGTGGAGTTAGAGAGAGAGACACACACACAGAGAGAAAGCTCTTCCATCCAATGATTCATTCACCGCATGGCCATAGTGGCCAGAGCTGGGCCAGTCCGAAGCTGGGATCCAGAAGCTTCTTCCAGGTCTCCCACATGGATACAGGGTCCCAAAGCCTTGGACTGTCGTCAGCTGCTTTCCCAGGCCATTGGCTGGCAGGGAGCTGGATCAGAAGTAGAGCAGCTGGGGTGTCAATGCTACAGTTGGAGGACTGACCTGCAGTACCACCATGTACCCTTCCTTTTTTTCCCTTAAAAATGTAAACTCTTTTTCAAAAATCACTTTTAATTGCATCCTTCATGAACTTTCCAAAAAAGATTTACTTTCTCATTCATTAGAAAGTCCGAGTTAAGTCTGGGCCAACCTGAAGCCTGGAACTCCATTCAGGTTTCCCACATGTGTAGCAGGGACCTTGGCATCTAGGCTGTCCTCTGCCGCCTTCCCAGACATGTTAGTAGGGAGCTGGACTGGAAGTGAAGCAGCAAACCTGCACTCCCATAGGGGATGCTGGCACTGTAAGTGGTGGCTCAACCCACTGTGCCAC